TATTTTAGCAGAGCTACTTTAGTATAACCATTAAGAGAATGCAGTCAACATTATCATATCTCTTTGTTTACAAACTTGCTCATTATGCTTTTTTGTCACCCCCATCTGACAATACATACTACTAGATTTTTTAAGAAATACAGCTGTTCAATATATAAAATGTTTTAATTTATTTTGCCGCAGTTATTGCTGAAGAAGAAAATTTCAGTTTATTTTTAAGGGTGGTTTACTCTTTAACTTATTTTAGATTTTCTGGGAATTAAGTGCATTCCCGAAAATTTATAGATATTCAGAAAATGAACGTAGTCTAAATCAGTAAAAATGCATGGAAATCTTTAGGTCTGATGCAGTAGAAAGACATCGCTAATCTGTCAGGAAAAAGAACAAGGTTTAATAGACTCAACAAGTAATTATATGCCAACAATTATTGAGAAAGCGATAGACATGAAACATTAAGTCATAAGGTGCAGAGGGATATTTTGACCAGCCAGCCACTCAGCAGTTTTGCCAGGTGAAGAAGCCGTCTAATTTTCTTGATAAGAAGTGGGTGTTCCACTTTGTTTCAGTCATATTATGACCTCTTTGAGGTCTTGAGGTCATAATACTGCCATTCTTCCTCCATATAACAGGATAGCAATAAAATTCCCCAAAACATGTTACTGTCACATAACAAATCTATTAAAAAATGCCTTGGTGACTCCAAATGTATTAATATATGCATTCTTTCAGCAACATTAAGCAGCTTAGAATTGTTCTTAATGTAAACTTTCCAGTAATATTAGTAGAAATAAACAAAAAAAATGGCATGGCATCCCAGTCAAACAGAAGCTTCTACAAGGTCTAGTCCAGCATATTTCACTCTTTATCCAGAAAAGTCATTCTGAGCAGACAACAGTTAATTCAAAAAATGGGCACAAATACACACACAAGGATGTGGCCTGCACAAGCTACCATGAGTTAAGTATTTCGATTAGGTAATTACATCAATACTGTACTGAAGCTGTACCTGGAGTAAAAGCTAGGGCACTCCCATCAATTTCTACTGCAAGGTCTATAGTTGCCTTTCGTCACACTCAATCAACAGCAACTTCTTTGATACCGTAACAGACATACCCTTAACATCTACCAAATGACTACATGCAAGGATGCCATTGAGTATAGAGACGCCGCTTCCACACCGCTAGCCATCATTGAAAACACAGCAAAACCAGTATCTCCCATCTCCCCTGTAAGGAATACACATTATATACCTCATTGGCAACTTTCACCCAACATGTCTGTGGAAATAAACATCATGTGAATTACATATACAAACTTGCTACAGTACAAAAAGAAAATTATCATCCACTATGCACGTATCAATCTTACACCACAGTACCCTGACACTGATATGGAAAATCATTAAACCTATACCCGTGAAGAAATGTATCTTTTTTTCGCTCATCTAACTTTCAAATAGCTCACCAAGATCAACAGCATAAGCAAATATTCTGCAGATTAGAGTTCACAATATTTAGCAACCCAATCCTCCGTTCACCTTATTTCCTGCGGATCCCAATACATTGCACAAACACAACTTACCTTGAAACTTCGTATCTTTCCTAGGTTAAAGACTGACTATTCAAATTTGGAGTTTTCTGCTTCTTTGTCAAAACTCATGAAGAGTTTATCAACCCATCGCTTGCCTGCTTTCTCTTTTTCAGCACCTGACATAAAATACATCAACTCTCCTTACAAATCTCACTTAACTGAAATTAAATGCAGTAATAGCCATGTTCTATAACTTCCCTGAATTCAGTTATCTGATGGAAGAACATGAACAGAACTAGTAGAATCTCATACAAAATCACTAGTGTATCGCCGGTAATAACACTTCTACCAAATTTAAATCGTTGTCCCAGCTTGCCAACTAAAAGAAAAAACCCAACTATATTAAGGTATCTGACGCATGACTCCAAGCTATGGAATGGTAGTTGTCAGACTATATATTATTTATGAATATTAAAAATGTTAGTTTTCTCAAAACGTTTCTACTTTGGTTGCTCACAAGATGAAATCTTGTATGGCTTTTAACCAGTCAGCCCATTCATTTGCAAATAAATCTTCAGAGGACAGAAACATATGCCAAAAAAATTGGAATTATAGTACAAACAGCAATTTACAGTAAAACATGAAAATACTTAAAACATAGATTTTTCTGTGCCTGTGTCCAATTTACAGGAATGACGTGATAAACAAGATGCAATACGGCAAATGTCAGCTTTTTGATGTATAAAAATATAAAGCTGTTTCCTACGTCTAAAAATGGATCTGGAATTTTCCTGTAGGGTACAACCGAAAACAAGGGTTCCACCCTTCATATGGCCATTATAATGAAACATCATCTGATGAGTATCTGAAAATATTCTTTGAAACTGATTTATAGAAGATGTAATGTAATGTTCTGTAACATAATTATGTTCTTGCATATAATACTGTACAACAGAATTGTAATTTCTTGCTTTCTAGCTTAAAAACTACAATTCAGCATATGTATTTGTCAAAATCCCTATAGTAGCATAAAATGTTATGCAGAATAACACTTTTGTGCCAATCTGCAATAATGTTACTTTTTAGTTTGCAGAGCAGTGTCAGCATGAACTGACAACTTCACATTTTCAGATCACTTCTGTCAAATATAGCTTATGTTTCCCTAAATTTAATTTGGGATCTCTATTAGGACAGACTCTAGAAAACTTTTCATAATAGCTTGGGGATTGTGAATGTATAAATGTAAAACTTCTCAAACTCTTGGAAAGCAAAGGTTTTACCATGTGAAATCAAAATTTCATTTTACACATATTTTGAATGAGGTATTTACGGTACATGACTTCAATGTCATTTGAGCACGCAAAATAAATCTATTCTCATAGCCACACTCAAAAAAATGCAGTTCTATGAATGACAGAATGTTATGAGAGCCTTTTAGTACTCATTTCAAGGTAAATATAAATAACTAACATTTAAATATCTGATAATTTTGAAGAACAGCCACATACAGTTAATATTTTAGAGGAATATAAGGAAGAATCAGTTCTGTTTATGCTGTGTTTCAAGATGTCTCATGGTTGGTTTCTGATATCTTGTTATTAAGTTGTACTAAAGCACTCAAGTAAGCTATGATATTAAGTTTCTCAATCCTAATTTTAATATAAGCTAACAGCACATTGATTTTCAAATACAGGTAGATGTTTGCAGTTATCTTCATCGAGAAACTCATATTCTAGTAGGATATATTTTCATCATATGACTGGATGGACAGATACCGTGCAGCCAAACGAGTCAGGCATGAACCACCAAATCAGCAACCACATGCGCATTCCATCACAGTGCCTCCAATTTTGTCATGGTACTGGAGAAATGTTGAGAGTGTCTCAAAACCCTTCAGATGTAGCATACTACAATTTTGAGGCTAGAAAAAAAGACCAATTCTCTTTTTTTTTTTAATGAGCAGAAATAATACCTGCAGAAACCAAAGAAGAAATGTTGCATTTAGGCACAGCATGAAGGGTTCATACCCTTCTAAAACACGTACCTCAATTAAGCCATAAATTGTGTCTTTTGTTCCAGTAATTTCTGTATCAGATTCTGTAACACGTATTTTGAATATAGATCGTTAAATGATTTTCCGATTTTAAAAGCTGCAAAACGATACTCTGCCTTCCTGATTCTCTTTCTACTCTACAGACCACTTCAGTGTCTGAATCATTTCATGGGCTTTCCCATAAAAAAAAGGTAAGATCAGGGTAATCATCCTTTAGTGTTTTATTTTTGATGACTTCATTTCACAATTAGTTTTATTCCAGTCTCTATTTGCATTTAAATTTATGTCCTGTTGCTCTGAATCAGTATTGACTCTGACATGACCTGTCAAAAACATTTAAAGTTTTTCCTTGCTGCTTCCCAACACTTTTGCTTGCTGACTGGCCTGCTGTCTTGTTTCCATCTGGCTCTCAGCATTAATTCACAATCCGGTGTCTTTTTCACGCACAAATTCTGTAGGTCTTTTTCCCAGATACCTCAACCCTTTAAAAATGAGTCTTACAGTTAATATTTTGAAGGTCTTTAGATCCAAGAAAGAAATGTTACTAGCAATGTAGCAATTCACAGCTCTTCAATCTCTTTCCAAATCCAAATCGTTATCTTAGCTTGTCTTCTACGCCAAAAAGTACACAGCTCCACATGCTACTTTCTGTGCACCCTTCCATGATGCTCAGTGGGCTTTCCTGTCTCACGTGTCATTTCACGTAGCATTTCAGAGCAAATGCTACGCGAGAGTTATCTGCGCTCCATAACCTCTGGCATGATGCAGGTTTTTCTCGGCTAAGTCCTTTGTCAAAAATTTTACTCTCGTTTGGAAACTGATCTCTTTGCTGGGGCTCACTATCCCCCAAATCCTGTACCTTTCAGGTGCTTTATCTTCCTTTCTGTGCTCTGCCTGAAAGCGTATTACCTGTATGCTTCCCTTCTACTTGCACTGCAGTAAACTCAGTAATAGAGCTCCATAGCTGGCCTCCTCTTGAGTTACTTGAAAATTACTAAAAATATGAAGTGCTTCTTAAACAGGTCTTGTCAGAAATAAAACTGCTTTCTGTCTTCCTTTGCCAGACGCACACTATTACTGATATATGGGAAAGCACTGTTTAAGCCTTTTCCAGCTGTCCTCCACATTTCCAGAGTTTCAGCATTTGGAGGACTTTGAACTGTTACATCTTTCCACTGATGTGGAAGTGTTGGCTTTTTTTTTTTTGATTCATTTTACTTCTGTCCTTCGGAAATTAGTCATAGCAGAGGAGTCTGACAGTCAGCAGCTTCATCTCATTAAACGAAGAGGACGAAATTTACAAAACCAGACCATCACCACAACTGTCACTACCGAGAGCCTCCCAAGGAGCAATTGCGCCCACCGCGGCCACACTTCGCCCGAAAGGCCACCGTGGTTCCAAGCGACCCCAGGCGAGATGCGATGCGGGGGCAAACGGGGGCAGGAAAAAGGCAAGAAAAGGCTTCGAATGGAAGGCGAAGGCAGCAGGTGAAGCTGTCGGAAAGAAACGCCCCCTCGGCAGCGCGGTGTGAAACCCTCCGGTTTTATTAAAGCGAGGGAACTAATTTTGAACGCAGGCCGGGGGGCAACGG